AACTTTTTAGTTAATTTTGTGTGTGTGTGTGTGTGTGTGTGTAAGACAGCGTCTTCCAAAAGCCCCAGCTAGTCTGAAACCAGCTATGTAGAAGAAGCCGGCCTCAATCTCCACCTGCCTCTGCCTCCCAACTGCGGGGATTAAAGGCATGGATCACCGTACCCAGCTAGCAACATTAATTTTTAAAGTTTAATTTGAAGGTGGAGAGGTGGCTTAATGATTAAGAGCACTAGCTATTTTTGCAAAGGGCCTGTGTTCAATTCCCAGTACCCATACAGTGGCTAACAACTGATCAAAGGAAAGATTTACTAATAATACAAACAGAATCAAACTTCAACTCAACAAAGGAAGTCTTGAGCTTCATACCACAATCACAAGCAAGAAAAGAAACCCATATGCCAAAACCACAAGGAAAAACAATAATATGGAAACCCAAAATATGTTTTCACCAAACACCACCAGTGCTACAGAAGAGTTCCATAATGAGAAGCCCCTAGAGATAACCGAGGACACAGAATTTCCAAAAACAATCATGATCAAAGAATTAAACAAATTTAAAGAACACACAAACAACTTAAAGAACTAAGAGAAGACAGGGATAAACTTCTGACTGAATTCACAAAAGAGATTAAAATATTGACGAAAACTCAGGTTGAAATGAAGAAGTGAAAAATTCAATAAATCAACTTGAAATGATAGAAAGCCTCACCAACAGAATGAATGAAATGGAAAACAGAATATCTAGATTGGACAATAAAGTTGATGAATTGGATGACTCAAGCAAAGAATATGAAAAATTAAATAAACAAAATAAACCCAAACAGGAATTGACTATGCAGGAAATGTGGGACACTATTAAAAGACCAAATTTATGCATCATAGGCATAGAGGAAAGAATCTCAGATAAATGGTATTGACAAGATTTTCAACAAGATATTAGAAGAAAATTTCCCCAAATTAAGGAAAGACATACCCATACAAACTGCCAAGAAGCACAAAGAACACCAAATAGAACCAGAAAAGAAACTCCCCATGGCATATCATAGTAAAAGCACTAACTGTACAGAACAAACAGACAATACTGAAAGCTGTAAGACAAAAACAAGTCACAAAGAAAGGAAAACCCATCAGGATTACAGCTGACTTTTCAATGCAAACTATGAAAGCCAGAAGAGGCTGGACCAAAGTATTCCTAGTTCTAAGTGACCACAAATGCCAACCCAGAATACTTTACCCAGCAAAACTGTCTATTATAGTAGAAGGGGAAAGAAAAATCTTCCATGACACGAATAGACAGAAAAGTCAGGTCCACCAAACCAACCCTACAGAGAATATTCAGAGCAATGCAAAGAACTGAAGAAAGGAATGACTATATCCAAGAGGCAACAGAAAGAAACTAAATGAAGGGATAATTATAGAAACACAAAATTAGACCAAGAAACACAAAATTAGACCAAGAATGAAACAGAAACTAAAATGACGGTAACCAATACACATCAATGAATAATAAGTTTAAATATCAATGGCCTGAACTCTCCAGTCAAAAGACACAGGCCAGTTCAATGAATTAAGAAACAAAACCCATCTTCTGTTGTCTGCAAGAAACTCGTCTCACTTTCAAAGACAAACACTATCTTAAAGCAAAAGGATGGGGAAAAAAAAAAAAAATCTTCCAAGCAAATGGCACTAAGAAACAAGCAGGGGTTGCAATTCTAATACCTGACAAAATAGACTTTAAACTAAAACTAATCAGAAGAGATAGAGGGTCACTTCATTCTGATCAAAGGAACGCTTGACCAAGATATTACAATCATGAACATAAATTCACCAAACATTGGTACACCCAACTTCATAAAAAACAACATTACAGGACTTTAAGACACAGATTAACCCCAACTCAGTAATGGTAGGGGACTTCAACAACCCACTATCTCCAATAGACAGGTCAATTGGACAAAGAATAGACATCTGAAGTAAATGAAACCATACATCAAATGGATCCAACAGACATCTACTGAGTATTCCACCAAAGCACAAAAGAATACACTTTCTATTCAACACCCCATGGAACTTTCTCAAAAACTGACCATATACTGGGGCACAAAACAAACCTCAACAAATACAAAAAAACTTAAATGATTCCATGCATTCTATCAGACCACAACGCAATAAAGCTTAAAATCATCACCAACAAAAGCTCTAGTAACTAACTCATGGAGATTAAACAATATGCTCCTGAATGAGGAATGGGTCAAAGAACAAATTAAGAAAGAAATAAATGTATTCCTGGAACTAAATGAAAATACAACAAAACAAAACCTCTGGGACACTTTAAAAGCATTCCTAAGAGAAAAGTTTATAGCTCTTAAGTACTTACATTAAAAAAAAAAAAAATCAGAAAGAGCACAAATAAAGGACTTACCAATGCAACTCAAGGCTCTGGAAAGGCAAGAACTAACAAAACCCAAACCCAGCAGATGAGAAGAAATAACAGAAATCACTAATAGAAATTAATGAAATAGAAAGAAAATAGAATCAATGAATCTAAGAGCTGGTTCTTTGAAAAGATAAACGAGATAGACAGACCCTTAGTCCAGTTAACCAAAAGAAAGAAAATCAGAAATGAAAGGGGAAACGTCACAATAGATGCCAAAAAGATCCAGAATATTATTAGGGAATACTTTAAAAATCAATACTCTATTAAATTTGAAAGCCTAAAAGAAATGGATGTACACCTAAAGTTATGGGAACCACCAAAGCTAAACCAAGAAGAGATCAACAGCTTAAACAAACCCATAACATATAAGGAAATTGAAACAGTAATACAAAACCTCCCAACTAAAAAAGCCCAGGCCCAGAAGAATTCACAAAATTCTATTTGACATTTAAAGAAGATCTACAACAGGGGGCTGGAGAGAAGGCTTAGCTGTCAAGAGCACTGACTGCTCTTGCAGAGGACCTGGGTTCAATTCCCAGCATCCACATGGCAGCTATGAACCATCCTTAACTCCAGTTCCAGGGGAATCTGAAGCTATCTTCTGATGTCTGCAGCACTGCATGACACAGGTGCACTTACATGCAGGCAATACACTCATACACATAAAATAAAATTAATATTTTAAAAAAAGATCTACAACAATACTACTTAAATTATTCAAAAAGATTGAAATAGAGGGAGAACTCCCAAACTCCTTTTATGAAGCCAGCACCACTCTAAAAGTTCTAAAGTGAACCAGACTGGACAGAACATACCTCAACATAATTAAAGGTATATACAACAATCCCACAGCCAATATCATTCTAAATGGAAAAAACACTGGAAGCATTCCCATTAAAATCAGGAACCAGTCTGGGCATGGTGGCATATGTCTTTAATCCCAGCACTCAGGAGCAGAAGAAGGCAGAACTCTGTAAATTTAAGGCCAGCCTGGTCTGCATAATGAGTTCTAGGCCAACTGAGGCTACAGGAAGACCCTGTCTCAAAAAGACAAAAAAAAAAAAAAAAAAATCAGGAACCAGACAAGACTGATGGAGTGCTTGAATAGAGCAATAAAACAAGAAAAG